AAAAACCCAAAATGGTGAAATGGAAAAATGGAATGGGAATAGATGTTGGAGGAGATGGAGAAGGAATGACGGCCCAGGACGAGAGAGAGACAGAGGGGAAGAGTGAAGAAGAAGGTTAATTTTGGGAATTTTGGAAATGATTTTAATTAATTAATAATAATCAATCTCTTATTTATTTGTTAAAATTAAAAATGCCATGTAAACAAAAAAAAAAGTGCCACCTCATCAACTTACATATGCTTTCTTTTCCACATCAATATTTTTTTTAAAAAAGTATAATTTTTTAGCAACTTTAACGTGACACTTGTCTTTTAACTGACGGAATGACCATTTTGGTATAAAAATGAAAGTTTAAGGATAATTTTGATACTTTTTCAAGGTGAGGGACAATTTTGGTACCAAAACGTAAAGTTGAGGGACCAAAATGGTACTTAAACCTATTTTAAAAGATAAAATTAAAAAAATTTGTGTGAACCCAAATTATTTGTCTTGTGTTGCTATAACCATTCACAACACTAACCTCATAACCTTATATAAGAAAGGCATGAAAGTTCATAACCTTATTAGTGGACTTTCGAGAACATGAGATTTTTTTTATTTTTTTGGGTTCAACAATATTCAGGAAACACTTAAGTTAATTGAGATTAATTTCTCATTTATCTAGTTAAAAATAAATCATTTATATTAAAAATTTATTTAAAAAAATTATCCATTTATTTTCCTTTTCAATGAATCAAATCAAATTTTTATCAATAAAATAAGAGGAAACCATTTACAAACTAAACTCCTTGGCTGGGGAGAATATGAGATGAAATGTAGACTCATGTTACAAAATTTTTCTCGACATGCAATCATCTACATAACAATCTATTACAAACTTAAAATACATTTCAACCTTCAATATTGTTTTCACTCAAACTAGCTGACAAAAAACATCTTAAAATTTTTGCAAAAAATGAAATATGAATTTCAAAAAACAAAAATTACGTTACATTTATTTATATTTATTTGCCCATATAACTAACTCTTAACATAACTTTAGTCAATATTAAATAGCAAATGGATAACAATTGAAATTTTTTTATAAAATAAACTTACTAAACAAAAATTTATATATAGAAAAGAAAAATATTTTAATTATTACTTATATGCAATATAAAAATATTTAACTAAAGTTAAATGAAAAATTAATTTAAGAATTAGTTGTATTGAGTAGAGGAGTTACTTACTAAGATTTCATTTGTTAGTGTTTCGCATAGATTTTTTTTTACAATCATATCATGAAAAATGTAAATTTTCAATTAGTTTTAATTAATTTTTATATACTTTTATTAATTTTAATTAATATTTTATATATCTTACGATAATAAAAGATAAAAAAAAAAAAAACCTAGGTCAAATGCTAGTTTTAATACCTAAACATTCAATTTTGAATATTTTAAATTTTTAGTTTTTTTTTTGTACTTTTTAGTCTCTAAGCTATAAAAAATATATTTTGTATTCTTTTATTAATTAATTTATTAAAATTTTTAACTAACAAAAAAATACTAAGTTTTTTTTTTTTGTACTTTTTAGTCTCTAAGCTTTAAAAAATATATTTTGTATTCTTTTATTAATTACTTTATTAAAATTTTTAACTAACAAAAAAATACTAAAAAAATATTTTTCTTAATATAGAGATTAAAAAGTATAAAAAATAATTAAAAACTAAAAATATTTAACAATTAAAAGTTCAAAATGTAAAATTAACGTCTAACCAAAAACCTATGACTACTATGCCACATAGCACTATACATAGAGATGTTAATAGGGCCTATGGGGTCAGAGAGTCTCTCTCCATCCCCATTCCCATCAGGATCCCACGAAGGTTTTTGATGAGGGTACAAATTTTTCCCTTTATCCCCATTCTTTGTGAAAATTCCCATATCCCCATTCTTTGTGAAAATTCCCATTCATTGCTAATTAAGATCACAATTTAAATTTTTTACATATAATTAATCGATATTCAATTATAATGAGTAAAATTTTAAAAATTCAAGTACAATTAACTAAAATTCTTTAAATATAAAATCAAATATAAATTATCTAAATATAAATAAAGATTAATTTAACATAAAACACTAAATTAACAAACTTGTTGATGATGGGTTGAATAAAATTAAATAAAATTAAATTTTTATTAGATTAAATTTACATTTAAAGATTGAATTAAATTTAAAATAAAATTAACTAAAATTCTTTAAATATAAAATCAAATATAAATTATTTAAATATAAATAAAAATTAATTTAACATAAATCACTAAATTAACAAACTTGTTGATGATGGGTTGAATAAAATAAAATAAAATAAAATTTTTATTAGATTAGATTTACATTTAAAGATTAAACTAAATTTAAAATAAAATTAATTTATATATTTTTTAAAATATTTTATAAAAATAAAGATCCTCATATACCCACGGAGAGAATTTCTTATAAAATTTGATAAAGGAAAAATACCTCACCCACACCTCGTCCCAATGGCCAGAATCCCTGCAAGGCCCCGCGGATATCGGGGCAAATTGCACCCCTATCTGCAAAGCATAGCAAAAACAAATGAAGGCTAAATTGACATTGAAGATTAAAGGGCACAGTAAGCAGAGAAAAGTCAAGAAAATCACTCATTTTCACAATTTTAGCCGCAAAAAGAATCAAAGAAACCAAATTCCAAAGCCGAAAAGCGCGCCTTTCTTTGGCATCTCGAGTTGCCCCAACGACTCGTCCGGTTTTCGAGAACCCCAAGGAACAAACAAAACAATATTAACGGTCCGTTCACAAAATGACCATAACACCTCTCGGGTACGGTCATGCGGAATTAACGCCTTAACTGTCGGTGGGGCCCCCAAAGCTCCAGTGGCACCCATGTAAATACCCGATCCCACTCCAAGAATATAAAAATAAAAATAAAAATAAAAAAACTTCCTCTGTTTTTAAATACACCATGTACTATAGTAGTTCTCCCTCACTCCTCAGGCTTTGTTCAACTGTTGGCAGAGCTACTAATTAATTTCCTTTTGCTACGCTCTTTTTTTGTATTTTTGCCACCGCACAGGGCTGAAAAAGTGTGGCGCCGCCAGTTATAACAATGCAGCACCGCCGTGGGTTTAGTGGGATTTTTGGGTTTTTTCTCTGCATAGTACTGTTGTTGGAGTGCTACCCTACGGTGGCGCTGGGCCAGCGTAACGTGTCAGACCCAGATTGGCATCCCGCTACCGCCACCTGGTACGGCAGCCCTGACGGTGATGGCAGCGACGGTGAGTCCCATCCCACCGCCACCACCACCAATATTTAATTGGGTTTTCTGCTAAGTCATCAATCCCTGTAGAGTCCAGTGCTAACGAGGAAATTAAATTGAATTCCAATTTGGTTAATTGTGGATTTGGTGCAGGAGGGGCATGTGGGTACGGTTCCCTAGTGGACGTGAAGCCACTGAGGGCCCGAGTCGGCGCGGTGAGTCCGGTGCTGTTCAAGAACGGAGAGGGGTGTGGGGCATGCTACAAAGTGAGGTGCTTGGACAAGAGCATATGCTCGAGACGTGCCGTGACAGTCATTGTTACTGACGAGTGCCCCGGTGGGTACTGCGCCAACGGCCGCATCCACTTCGACCTGAGTGGTGCAGCCTTCGGTCGCATGGCTATGGCGGGTGAGAGTGCCCAACTCAGGAACCGAGGCGAGATCCCAGTTATTTTCCGAAGGTAATTCCTGTTTTCTTTAGTTTACTGTGTGCTGTGTCTGTTGGTCAGTTTCTAGTTTCTAGCTTGTGTCCTTCCTATTTCTCTTTTTCCTTAATTATTTTATTTTATTTTTATCTATAACACTTTGAATTTAATTTCCTTAGTAAAAGAAGTAATTAAGTTATCATACTAGGTACTTAATCGTTATAATTAAGTGGGAATATCCCGTGCGGTAGTATTAAGAAGAAATATGTGCACTTAAATATAATATCTATTTTCAATTAATTTTAAGTTAAAATATTTATTTGTACCGTATTCTGTAGCACTTGTTTTCTAATATTAGTTATTAATTGGAAGAATTTTTAAAGAATAAGTTCATAAATATGCATCGAAATGGGATTTTTTTATCTAATTTCATTTAAATTTCAGGACACCATGTAAATATCCGGGGAAGAACATTGCATTCCACGTTAATGAAGGTTCGACGGATTACTGGCTGTCTCTTTTGGTTGAATTTGAGGATGGAGATGGAGACGCTGGATCAATGCATATAAGAGAAGTAAGTTTTTTTTTTTTTTTTTTTTCTCTTTTTCTGGTATAAATGCAGGGTTTATATTGATATCATTTCATCCTAAAAATAGAGAAGAAAAAGGTTACTACTAAATATTTTTAATTCACCTTGAGACTTTTATCGAGGTGAAAAAGGAGAATTGAAGTACTACTTTTAGACTCCATGGAGCTTAAATGGGCCAATATGGCCTTGAGGAAGATTTGGTTGTATACTTTTAAAGCACTTGGGCACATCTAAAAGTGGTTTTCTCTCTAGATTTTTTGCATGAAAAGAGCTGCAAAGCATGTTTAAATCATTTGTTTACAGCTTTTAATCGTTTTTTAAAGGCAGAAAACTCCTCATATCATGGATTTGTGTCCATTATCAAGGCTTTATTTACCCAATTGCCTTAAAATATTAGGAATTTATGATTTTTCCTAATGGTGCCAATATGCAACATGTTCAAAGAGCACCTATTTTTCCTAGCTTCTTTTCTTCTATTGACTGTTGAGTTTTGAGTTATTGCCCATTTTTCTGGACTCATTGCATGTGACACTGGGGTCTGGGGCCACCAATATTCTGAGCATGTTCAAAATAATATTTGTTTATAGGTCACCTTGTCGGTTCCTTTATTGTACATGTCTTCTTTTTTCCCATCCCCCTTCCACCCAAAAATACTCAATTTGTACATCAATCACTAACTCAACATTTTATTAACATATATCTAGTTAGGGTGTGGGCAGGCCACAAATAAAGCAACTCCTTTTCATTAACAACTAATTACTTTAATAACAAAGTGCCAGTTTGGTCTGGCAATGACCTGTTTTAACTTGACCCAAATGTGATTTGATTTAATCACTTGTGATTTAATTAGAGTGAAGGATTGGATAACTTAAAGCCAATTGGATCTGATCTACCTAGCTATAAAGTTTTTGTAGAAGCATTATTCGAGTATATATATATATATATATTTTAAAGAATCTATATTAGCTCTTTCCTAATTATAATTAGTTGATTACTATGGCAGATAATTAATTGGGTTTTGAAAATGGCAGGCTGGTTCTAGTGAGTGGTTAGAGATGAATCATCTATGGGGAGCAAATTGGTGCATTATTGGGGGACCCTTAAAAGGGCCATTCTCAGTGAAGCTAACAACACTGTCAACAGGAAGAACACTATCTGCAAGGGATGTGATTCCCACTAATTGGTCTCCAAAAGCCACTTACACCTCTCGCCTTAACTTCTAAATTCTACAATTGTTGCTTCTAAAAGGCAGAAGCTTTTGCCCATAACAAAGAGGGGGTAAAAGCACAAAGTACCCTTTTTCCCTTTTTCTTCCGTTAAAAGTAGCCGTTGTCTCCTGGGTTTTTTGAGAGAAAAGTAGCCGTTGGAGTCAGCATAAAGGGCATCCAAGGCTCACTCTTTCTTTCATTTTTTTAATGGGTGATTTTTCATTTTTTGTGTGTAGGTGTAGCCAGTAGCCCTCTCCAAAGGGAGAGAGAGCGTTTGGTAGTTTACTGTAATAACTGGTGTAAGTTAGTGAGTCCAGTGGAGGATTTGGACCGTTGATGTAATTGTGTTGTCAAGTTTGGAGGCAAGCTTGATTGGGCCAAGTTCACGTGGGACCTTATCCACTATTTAATAGTACTGTTTTTTGGTGCAATAGTACTGTTAATGTACTTCTGTTAGTTGTAGTAATTTGGTTGAGACATTAATATTTGCACTTAATAAAACGCCTGTTGTTGTTGATGTCAAATTTTTATACCGGGTACGGTTATTGGTATAAAAGAAAGAGCAGTGCTAGGGGCACTCGCCTCTTGCACTCTCCGGCCAACACTTCTCCTTTCATTGGGCCACGTAAGCTCGTTTCAGGCTTTCAAGGCAACCTCTTTCCGACCAGAATAACGTGGCCCAATAAAAGTGAAAGTGTTGGCCGGAGAGTGCAGAAGGCGACTGCCCCTAGCACTCCTCTAAAAGAAAATGCCGGTGACACAATTTTTAATAATGCATAATGATTTTGTTTGATTTAAACTATTCAAACTAAAGAATTGAGGAAAGTAAAAACATCTTAACATTTAAAACATCAAAATTTATAATAAAAAGATTTAAACATCAAAAATTATAATGAAAAGATTCAAATGTCTTTAATGAATTAATACTTAAAAAAATTTGTTAAAAGTATTTAAATAATTTTATAAAAAATTCTTAACATTTAAAGTGCCATGATACCTTAATTTTCACCTTTTTGTTTTTTCAACTAAGGACCTACTCTTTCTATAGCAGAATAATAGAAAATTTTATTTCATTTTTAAATTAAAAATATGAGGATAATCTATAGTTTTACTTATATTTTCCTTTTAAAAAAGGATTTTTTTTAAAGAGCAAAAATTAAGGGTGTGTTATTGCACCTTTTTACTATTAATTTATATAAAAAATTATGCAAAAAAATATTATTTTCAACACCTATACAACTTGAAATAAGTTAATTAGATAGTTAATAAAATTAAAATTATTTTTTATTTTTTATGCAAATTAATAATGAAAAAAATATAATAAATACATTCTTAACCTTTACTTTTAGAGTATAGATTAAGAAATTCCTTTTAAAAAAAAAGATAAAGAAAGACTTTTTAGTGATCGGATAAATAATTAAAGTCAAAAAATAATTATAAGATTAAATTAAAAAAATATTTATCTCATTTACAACATGAAAAAATGAAAAATAATCTAGGACAAATACTAAATCAAAATACATTTAGGGCATGTTTAGTTGGAGAACCAATTTTCTTAGGAAAGTTTTTACTAGAAAAGTAGTTAGGAAAGTATTGTATAAAAAATTGGTAAATACTCTACCAAAAGCTAATGAGTTTTGTAATGAAGTTTTATTAAAATTTTGTTAGGTTATTAATTTTTTTTGTATTTAATAAAAAATTAATATAAAAAAAGTTAATAAAAAAGTTGTCGAGTGGGTTTTACAAAAAAGTAAGTTAATTGGGAGAAACTTTTTCTCTTCAAAAAAAGTGTAAAAAGAAAAGTTTACAAATTAAGAATTGTATTAAGGAAAATAAAAAATAAAAATATTACTTTTACTTTTATTTTGTTATAATATTATTATGTAAAAATATATAAAAAAAATTATAAAGGAGGAAGTTTTATCCAATTAAACACCCTGTCATTGTTGTAAGACAGAGGGAATAATACAATTTTCATGCTTTTTGTTTCTAAAAGAAAAGGACACCCACAAGAATATGATTATGGTTACGGATATAACGCCACAACATTTGGTTAAAACTACACATATTTTGTTTAATTTAATTAATATTTTATTAATTTTTATTTTTTAGACAATTAATTAATATTTTGAAATATTTATTTATAAATTGATTTTAATTTATTAATTAATAAATATTAATTATTGTATAGGATATTATTTGTTTTTAACAATTAAACTACACAAAATTGATATTTGAAAATAATATTACTTGATTTTAGAAAAATAATGTGTCAACTTAGCTACTCAAGAAAATATTACCTATCTTTCTTTTGTGTTTTGAAAATGATAATTATTACACTGCATTTTAGAACACGTTATGCGGAGGGGGAATTGATAACGCTGTGGCTCGCTTACTAGGGGATGATTTCCACTAAATCAAGTGGTAAGTCATTAGCAACGATTTATTAATTCGAATGAAAAATATTCAGTTTTTTTTTTTTAAATAAGATAATGAGTTTAAGTTTTATAAATAAAAAAAACATACATTAGTAAAACTTTTACTTTATGAGATATGATACAACTTAATTACGAATTATTTAAAATTTAATGCAACTACAAGAAATTAATTAAAAAAAAAAAAAAAAGACAGGCCACTTGATCCGAGACGTGGAAATCTACTTATCAGACTAAGTGTTCACGTGTAAAGGGGTTACAATGATCTCGCAACTCAAGCAGACAAGTGGGTAGTGAGTGGTGAGAATAAAGACTCTAGACCAGGACTAGTGGAGCCATACTAAATCCTGTCTGACAGGCGATAGAGGCATGTCTTTTGCTGGACCTTCATGGACCATGATCCAGCAGAGAAAATTATGTGAGCTCCAAGGTGCCACCTGTGTATTTTTCCATGCCAATTACATTAACCCTGAAGGGAGTAAGGGCAAAGAAATTCAAGGACAGGGAGAGGAAAAAAATGCTTTCCCTTGTTTGGAAAGGCAGGGTACATGAATTGTGGAAACATAATTAGATATGAGAAATACATTACATTTGGAAAGTTCATTTCTTTATTTTAATTTTTATAAAATTTTTTTTAATTTGGAAGTGCCAGGAAATTTTTGAGTAAAAAAAGTCAAGAAATTTTGAAGAGAAATAAAATATGAAATAAAATGCTTCAAAAAAAATAAAATTAATATAATTATCATGTTCAATAATATTATAAATTATAATGTAATATATCATTAATATTGTTTTTTTCATTCAAAAATTTATTTATACTATTACATATTTTTTTCAACAGATTATAATTATTTACATAATAATTAAAAAAATAAGATTTCATGAAAGCCGAATGCACAACCATAAAAGATGGACGATTTTAACTTAAGTTCAATATTACTGAGTCGAAAAAGACCGTTCATATTACCACATATATATATATATATATATATATTTTGAACAAGTTGTTAAGGGGTGGATTTGAAATCCGTCCATAAAAGAGAGAAAATGCACCTTAAATTAGCAAATTGTCATTTAACCCGAAGTATCAAGTGCATATTACCATATATATATATTTTTTGAACAAGTTGTTAAGGGGTGGATTTGAAATCCGTCCATAAAAGAGAGAAAATGCACCTTAAATTAGCAGATTGCCAGTTAACCCGAAGGATCAGGTGCATATTACCATATATATATATTTTTTGAATATTTTAGTTATGAGACCAATTCGAATCATTGCCCTTTAAAAAAAAGAGTATGAACCTTACAAAAGTGGTTAGAACCATTTAGTTCATAGAACTAGGTTCATATCACCACATATATTTATTATTTAATAAAAAAGTAATACTCATTTTATAATGCATAACTATAAACTTATAATATACTTAAAATTGTAAAAATAGTATAAAAATTGATAGGACAAGATCAACTAGTCAACAGGCACTCGCGGTCTGATGGAGAAGAATGCTACACTGCCACGTTGCCAAAGTTTTGCCACGTGTAGCTTGTTCCGTCTATAACGGCGATGCCCGTCTTCTAGTCCCTGAGTGTGAGTTGATCAACATTGTTTTTCAGACCTCAGCTAAAACTCTCTAAAATTCCACTATTGTAGAGAAGAGGCGAACCGATGGCGGATCGTTTCTTCCCAAACTCTATGCCGGACTTCATGGTAGAAGCTACCAGAGATAGCGAAACTACAGTCGGAGAAGACTCTCTCATGAAACTCCTCTCCATGCCTTACTCTGCCCTCTCTCAACATTTCAAACGCACCGCTTTGGACCTAAAAGAAACTGTACTCTCTCTCTTGCTCTCATAGTTTCATCGGTTTTTGGTGTTTCTTTATTCTATATTCCCTCTGGGTACTGTGTGGGGTGGACTCTGAAGTGCTCACCAAGTGTTTGTGATATTGCCACAGATAACGTTAGAGACGTGGGGGATAACTGGGCAAAAAGTAAAGGACTTTAGTCTCTACTGTGGCACTCTTGGCACTGCATTCTTGCTCTTTAGAACATATCAGCTGACCCACAACAAGAACGATCTCATCCTATGCTTGGCCATCGTTAACGCTTGCAACTCTGTGACTTCTCGGTACGTATATTTAAGTAGGCAACTAGTCTCACTCTAGAGAAACAGTGAGTAGGCTAACTGAATGTTATTGACATAATTTGACAATAGGGATGTAACCTTTCTATGTGGGCGGGCGGGAGTTTATGCCCTTGGTGCTGTGGCTGCAAAGCATGCTGGTGATCAAAATTTGCTTAATTACTACTTAACCCAGTTTAAAGAGGTACTTTGTTCAGTTAGTGGTGATTTTGTCCATTAACGCCACATTCCATGCTTGTATACATACAATGGATAATCATAGTAATTATTGATGGTGATATTGGTGTCATCATTCATACTGATAAGGGATTTGATTAATGGAACAGATTAAGCTTCCACGGAATCTGCCTAATGAGCTGTTATATGGAAGAGCTGGGTTTTTATGGGGTTGTGTTTTCTTGAACAAACATATCGGTGAAGGGACCATTCCTTCTGCAACAATTGTAAGACTATATGTTCATAATCATATATGTTGGTAGTTTTCTTAAGAAAGGTGGTTTCCTTGTTAAACTTTGGTACTCATTGTGTAGCGTGCAGTTATTGATGAGATTATCAAGAAGGGGCGAGCAATGGAAAGGAAAGGAGGATGCCCTTTGATGTATGAGTGGTATGGAGAAAAGTATTGGGGTGCTGCACATGGATTGGCTGGTATTATGCATGTTTTGATGCACCTGGAATTGAAGCCAGATGAGATTGAGGATGTAAAAAACACTCTTAGATACATGATTAAGTATCGGTTTCCAAGTGGGAACTACCGTGCAAGTGAAGAAGATAGCAAGAGGGATGTTCTTGTACATTGGTGCCATGGAGCTCCAGGAGTTGCCCTCACTTTAACCAAGGCAGTTGAGGTAAAATTTAATATCATCAAGCATTACTTCAAATGATTTATAAGTTTGTAAAAAAGCCCTGTCCTTGATAATTGTTTTTCATACAAGAAAATGTACAGTTCTAGAATGTGTGCCCAAACCCCAGCGTTCCTCTATGTTAACCCTGGTGGTAAGTCCTTGATATTTTGAACAAACTGAGATTTAAAGTACCATGAGTCTTATTTTCGTACTTATCAGATTACTTTAGTTTTCTAGGTTTCTTATGGACAACAACATTTATTGCATGTGCTTCTGAGGATTTAAGTTACATTGTCCTTTCTCTTTTAGTCATCACACAGATATTCAATAAAGCAATTTGTTACAGACTGCTAGGAAAGGGGATACCGACATTTTCTTCAGCTGAGTTACTTGAATTACCTGTTTTGTGTAGGACTATTGTTCATAGACTTTCCTGGACTTAGTTTATGAAGAAGAAAAAAATAACTTAATCAACTTAAGTTCTTTTTTTCCTTTAAACTGCTGCACGTTACCTTCTTTTTTTTTCTTTTTTTTTTTGAACAGCCTGCTTCCAGTTATGTGCCATAAAAGAATAACAGCAAAGCAAACAATGATCAAAAGCTGTAATTGAAAGTTTGAAACAATAATAAGAAACTTTTTGGCTCTCTTATTAAAGGAGTCTTTATCGGAAATGGTTTTACTCAAAATTTGCCATTATCAGGTCTTTGGAGATAAAGAGTTTCTAGAAGCAGCTGTGGATGCAGCAGAAGTAGTCTGGAACCGAGGGCTACTAAAGCGAGTAGGGATTTGCCATGGCATTAGTGGGAATGTCTATGTATTTCTCTCACTCTATCGAATAACAGGCAACATACAGTTCTTATATAGGGCCAAAGCATTTTCTTGCTTTTTGCTTGATCGAGCTCACAAACTTATATCTAAGGGAGAGATGCATGGAGGTGATAACCCCTATTCCCTGTTTGAAGGGGTTGGAGGTATGGCCTACCTTTTCCTGGACATGACCGTGCCCTCAGAGGCTAGATTCCCTGCTTATGAACTCTGAAATGTTGCATCCTCATCCATTGTATTTACGAATATTAGCATTCAACTAGCTTCTCACTAATGTATATGAGAATAATGTAACACGTTTTTCGCCCAAAACTTGATCATTTCAACAGTCTGATTTTAGTGATAGCAATCTCCCTTGTTCCCACGCTAACTCCTGTTGTTTTTCTACTAGTAGTTTTAGTTCTTGAGATATCTTATATTTTTTTACTGGCCTATGTTCCGGTAAAAGTAGATTATTCCCCATGTGCGGGAGGATGTGTCATGCTCTCATGGTAACTCCTGGTTGGTGGTGGTCAGTGGATTAAGCGTATATATGGATAAAAATGACTAAAGGGAAGGGAAGGTTGGAGAAATGAAGGGAATGATAGGATTGATTTTAATTTTGTTTGGATAAAAAAAAA